CAAAAGATGCAGCGCTCATACGGTAGCACTGCTCGAACTGCCCCTCCAACAGAAGTGTCTGCCTGTGCAGCCCCCAGTTCAGCCGCCTGCGCGGCACGCAGTCACTAGGAGTGCCCCTTATCGAGGCAATGGCCGCCACCGTTGCGACCACCTGTACTCGGCGGCGTTTGCGAGCTTGGTAGGCCTTCAGCATCCACAGAGGCACCTCGTACTCGTCCATCGCACCCGCTTTCGCGCTCGAAATACCCGACGATCCCGGTCGGATCGCGGCGCCCCGAGTGGGGGCGCCGGATCGCGAGAAGATTGCTAAACACGTCGACAGCCCCAGCCCGCGCCGTCTCGTTGACCAACGAGAGGGCGGTATTCGCGACCCGACCCGATCCGAACCCGGTTCGGAACGGCCCTATAAATCTGTCGGAGGGGGAAGGGGGGAAAGGGGGGGGGGGGGGGGAATACCCCTGACAGAAGTGAAAATCTGTCGGGTACGCGAGCGGCCAATATCCTGAAAACTTAAGTATCACCTCATGCCTACACTGCAGTATACTTATTTAAATTAGTATATTGAGACCTGCATTGATTCAGGAATAAGTCACTATAGAGCACATGAACTTTTAAAATTATAAATTGATCAGAGTAAGGCTTGCCGTGATGTGTGTGTGGTCGAATTAATCCTTTTGGGCTGAACATACTCAATATGAAGTACTTCAAATCTACCACTAGCAGTCAAAGTTGTCTAAGATTACGTAGTTTACAGGTTTACGCAGGTCACCCCAATATTAGCTACGTCGTCTCTCCGTTAAAACACGCCCACTTTTAGAAGGTTTCAACATTTTAAATAGAAGCAAGCGTGGCCGTGCTTTCGTGGTGGTCCTTTCGATGACAACATACTTGGCTTAATTTTCACCAGGAATCAGCATGGCATTGTTTCACTACATGTGCATTTGGTATTGGAATGAAAACTAGCTCAGTGAACCAGGTTGTTCATAAAAATAAAAAAAAAGACTACCGGCTTCAGGGACTGCACTCGTGGGCCCTATTAAATCTGCGATGACAACGGAAATTTGCCGACAAGTTTCCACTTTATATCTATCAAGTCTACCAGCCAATCTTCCCATTTTTTTTCACGCAAGGAACGAATTCTACTGAGCCAAGGCGAATATAGGAGTATGCAATATTCATGAACTTGAAGAGGAGTTAGCTTCTTCCTCTCCACAAGTTTCATTAAAAGGAAGTCAAATGCAACTAATAAAATTCAGTCCTCTCTTTCTTACTCGCGAATATTAAGGTCAGCTAACGCTTCGCTAATTCCCTTCTTCTCCACACTCTGCTGCATCTCATCCTTAACTGCCTTGACAAAGCTCGTCACCGTCGGGTCGTCAATATTCATCAATGCAATCCTCTTCACCATTGTCGTATCCCCTTTCTCCTTACAAAACCTCACCGCCTCCTTCACAATCTCCTTAGCCCCTAAATATCTTGGGTATCCAAAGATTCCTGTTGATATCCCAGGGATCGCCACGGACTTTACTTCCAGTCGATCCGCCTGCATTAACGCACTCCACACTGCCCGACGAAGCTGCGCCGCATGCTCAGACGTTGGTGTTGCGCTCCCCACATTGGGACCAACTGTGTGAATCACGTGTTTGCAGGGTAACTTGCCTGCTGCCGTCGTAACGGCGTCTCCGACTGTCAATGGTCCGTGGTCCTTAATCCATTTGTTGCTCTCCTTTTGGATAGACGACCCCCCTTTACGTACAATAGCACCAGCTAGGCCTCCACCGTGCATCAAATGAATATTGGCCGCGTTGACGATGGCGTCGACCTTACAACGCGTAAGATCGCTCTGCATCACCAGCAGCTCCGGTCCATCGGTCGTGTTTTCACTAGGTCTCCATTGACACAGGATTTTCCCGCCGAGATCTTCCTCTACGTTGGACGTATGAATAGTAGAGACTGCCGCTGTTGGAGACGTGGGTTTCGTGGGCATATTGGCCTTAACAAGCGGACTAGAGCGGCTTGAAGTGACAGCGGACGACATCCTCGAAATCCTCCAGAGCGCATGAATAAATATAATAATTGCTTTTATATCGTCAGTTGGCTACATAAGACAGTGAAGATGAGCTGCTCTTATATCAATTATCAATTATATACCAGATAATTATAGAATCTGGCGGCTGTTTATTTTAGACCAGGATCAGAACTTCTGACCTTGTGTGTCATTGTCGGATGGGGCAAGGCGGACGAGGGCGCGGTCGGGGCGTAGGCGGCGAGCGCTGCTCGACTGCAGGCTGCAACAATAAGGCGCAGGCAAGTGGAAGATGCAGGACTCATACGGGGACGTTAGGCCAATGCAGTCAACCTCGATGCGAGAAACAAGCACAATACAAAGGTCTGTGTGTGGCTCACGGAGGACGTCGAGTGTGCACGTATCCAGACTGCAGCAAGACCGTGACGTCCAAGGGCTTATGTGGAGACCACGGCGGAGGGCGACGCAAACCTTCAGGTACTAAGAGGCCGTCAGTCAAGCAGGACAAAGCGGTGTTGTCGACTTCGAGTGGAATGTCCATGATGTCGCTACTATTGAACGAGTGGCCACAGGATGTGGACAATGGAATGCATGCATCTGCTTCTTATACAGGACAAATACTGGGTGATAAGGTATCGACAGAAGCTGTTACACCGCTTCATTTGCCTCAAAGTTTAGGACACAGTGACTCAACTCCAATTCCATACAATGGCACCTCGAATTGGACCGTAAGTGATGCCAAGTTTTCGACAGGTTCGGTTGCAGTAGCTACTTCAAGTGCTATACCTCAGGAGATACAGAACGGATCAATGCCACACAGTGATGCTCCGGCTTGGCCAGGAGACAACAACGTCATGAATTTACAACCGTTGATGTCGGCAGCATCGGTCATGCCGGCATCAGTTTCTACGTCGACTGCTCTACCTCAGGAGACACAGGGCAACGAATCAATGCCACACAGAGACGCCCCAGCTTGGTCAGGAGACGAGAACGTTACCAAGATGGAGCATTCGGTATCGGTGATGCCGACGTCGAGGCAAAGTGGGGGTTCGATGATGTCGCTGCTGCTTGGAGGGTGGTCTCAAGATACGTACACAGTGAAGACGGAGGAAAACAGTACTGAACGTGATTCTGTTGAGACAATAGACAGTGAAAAGTCAACAGATAAACCTGTCAAGGCGCGCAAGAGGGCGCTTTGTACGTACGATGGCTGCACCAAGATCGCTCAATCACAGGGACTCTGTGTAACCCACGGAGGGAAGCGATGCACACACTCTGGATGCACTAAAAGTGCTCAATATCAAGGCTTATGTACGACCCACGGAGGGTCAAGAGCTTGCACGTTTCCTAACTGTGTGAAAACGGTCCGATCGGCTGGCAGATGCTTCGAACACGGCGGAGGCAAGCGATGCTCGCACTCTGAGTGTACCAAACCGGCCAAAGCGAATGGGCTGTGCAGCTCTCATAGCAAGTGAAGAATCATTTTTATTAAGGTGATGCATAAGGTTTATTTCAACTCGTTCAAGGAAATAGAAAGTGCAGTTGATCATGTAGCTTCACCAGGAAATTTGATGGAGCGTCGTTCTGGCAATCTATGTTTCTTCATGAAATTTTTACTGTTAGTAAGAGCTCACGGAAGGATCTCTAAATCTTAATCAGAGTAGTCAACGTTCTTGAACACCTGTGGTATTTGTCCTCCAACTTCGACGATGTACTTCAATGATACCGAATCCGGTCTCGTCGTAATGTGTTCCACTGCATATGCTTTCACCTTCCAAGTGAGTTTTCCAGGCTTGCACACTTCGGTAACTCTCAACAAGTACCGGCTAAACGTACGTTGTAGAACAGAACGGTGGAGTTAGTTTGACAGTTTCCACATCGTGTCTTGGGTAGTATCAGCACTACACGGCAACGTGCACTGATTTACTTGCTGATAAAACGCTACCACTTCATATCCAATACGTCGATACACAGAACTCGCCCACTCCATCAGACAACTTTGGATACAGCAGCCGATAAACTCTTGATTAATTCAACTGTATGACACGTTCGCCTCTTTCAGAAGTGACACATCCGACGGATCAACGTTGTGAAATAGCGTTGTTTGGGATCTCAGCGTTCATTAAATGATGGTCAGCAGTATCCAGATATTTGTTGGATACAAAGACGTACCTTTAGCCCATGGAAGCTCTGGAATTCAGAACTTGTTTGAATGAAACCCGTTAAGGATTAATAGCGCAACAACTTCACTCTGTGTGGTAACAGCACACATGGGTGCTATATTATAGCACCCATTTTTGCAGACGCGGGGTCGCGTTCATGGTTTCACAACAAAAACTAAATACGGAAATCGCAAAATGTGTACGCGAATTTCTTATCATTTTAATTATGTTCCTTGAAGTCGCTCCAGCCGATCAGAGTGAGCCACAAGCAACATTAGTTATCAAGCCTTTCGCATGGATATACCACCGAGATCTCTACAGTTCAAGATGTGCTATGAGAAGATTCTCGATGGAGCTCCAAAATTTAGTATTAAGTTTAGCATATTTAGAATTCGAGATTCGATTTTTTTTTTTATTTAATTATCCTAGGAGGAGAGGAATTTCCACAATACGTACTGTTTTGTCCCAACGCATGTGCTGAGTACTGGTCAGTACATCTTAATTCGTAATGCGAACCTATGGTCCTTAAGCTAGATTTAATGATTTGTGTGACGGTAGAGAAGGCCCTCAGCGATCCGGTGTAGATAAACGAATATGATGACGTGCAGCGTGCTCAGAAAACATGTTTGCGATTTCTAGAACGGTATATCACAATCATTTAGCTAACTAATGACTTATATGGACACTTACTTTATGTTTGCGGTATTTGCAAAATCGCTTATCTGTTTGTACTAAGCAGCATAACGATTCACCTTCACCAATTATCTTGGCAACTCTTCTTTCAATAAGAAGAACTAGCGCCTACGGTACTACATGACTTTCATACTAGAAATGCAATAGGGCCTGTGAGCCAATGATTGTGTTAAGCATTTTGATGCCTACAATTACAATATGCTAACAAAGAGTTTGCTAACAGGTATGCTAGTGGTATTTGTGGGAGCACCAAGTTTGCTGCAATCGTCATGTTTATCGATTTCTAGCATACGCTAACTGTAAATTTAGAATTTAAGAAATACTACCCATTGTTTTGAAATCATCCAGTAAAGGCTTGGATTTCAAGTAACAATGGTATTTCTGCTCTACCAACATAGGGTTCGTACAGGGTTCATTCAAACTATAAGATCATCACAGTGAGCATGTTCTGTCAGCAGCTAGCGTCCGATCGGGAGGAACCGAAATGCACAACACCGTGGGAAAAGCTGAAACTCCTTGATCGAGGCGATGACTACTGGTGCGAGCGCAATGGGACCCTATCGGTATGCGTGACAATGTCCATCTGCTGCAGCGCGTGCAGTGCATGAAACTTCTGCCGCTCATACGAATTTCTTTAATAGAAAAAAGCTCATATATAACTCAATAGACTTTAATTTTCTGTCGTGCAGTAATAGCAAGGCAGCCAGGACTGAGACCTGCCTAGAGCAAAGCCTTTGGTTCTGCTAGGAGATCAGTCAGGCTGCGTTAACTGTGCTACATGATGCGGGCTTAGCAGGTATACTGGGTTGGTAATGATGCGAACCTAATGCAAGGGTACTGGATTGGTGATAATCTGTGTAAGTAATTCTTGGAATTTGGGACAAAACCCCCATAGTACAAATATACTGGATTGTGGAAATTGCTCCCTTGGAGGCTGTATGGAGCACCCTCGCGCGCAGGAAACATACTTCACAGTTTTGGAAGATGGAAGTCCTACACGTTTCCACGTTAATACCAGGAAACACTACCGATACTGGCGCACCCTAGTCACCAGCGTAGCGACGGACCTCCTACTTTGCAATGCTTGTCGAATTGGCGGGGTGCTTGCACGACTAGAGTGCACCGAGTTTGGGTTTGCCGCACTGTACAAAAAAAAAATAAATAAACACGGAGGTCTGTGTTGGACTTACCTCGTCTTATAGCCAACAAGTCAAGCAACTTGCTATTTTTTTTGGTAATGTTACTGTACATGTATGTGTTGATTGTCGTGATGTGATCTGAAAGTTGCATGTGCTACAGGCAACATTTTGGAACGGATGAATGTGTGTTGGTATTTTTTTCTTCGTCTTCAAGTCGGTGTCGGTTCTGGCTATCTAAACGTGACACCGATAATTTTAGCGAGGGCAGTATTTGGACCCGGTAGAGCAACCTT